TGCAGATTTTACTACACGGATGCCTCATGTGTAGGAGACAATTTGAACATACTGCCTCGCTCACCATGCGCCGCCTGTGCATTTATCAAGATGTTTGCCACAATGAAGCATACTGTACATCACGTGTATCTGCACGAATATACTCACTATGAACATGGTATATTACACATCTTCACAAGTAGCAGTGACAGGGAAATGCCAGTACCATGGCAAGAGCCTGAGATTCCTGTGGTCCTGCTGCCTAGTGTCGGCGTACGAGCAAGAGTGCAAGCTTCCTGCGTTCGTGCGGCCTGGTGTCGGCGTAGAGTAGAAGCAGAGCAGTACCTTGCTAGATTATGCCTAAAATCATGAAATCTGCGGGCTTTGGGGGGGGTAGCATATATATCATATATATATATATATGTATGTGTGTGTGTGTGCGTGCGCGCGCACATGGCTGCACTTGAACTTGGGGCAAAGTCTTTTCTTCGGCCGCACGCGTTACAGGTCGCTGGCCTACCTTGAGGAAAACGTTGTCACTTTCAAAGAACCTGTCGCTGTTGTCTTGAGACATGAAGACTCCTTGATTGCCTGCGCTGGAATGCGCTCACGATGGCGGCACTTCTCACTTCCTCATGGCATCCACCTCACCCTTCACCTGCAGGCCAGGCAGCTGCAAGGCATCTCGTCTCTGACTTTGAACTAAATTATCCCTCCTTGCTGCTCCAAGATGCTCCAAGCCTCCAAACGACGCTTGGTCAAAGGGTTCGCCACGGCCGCCACGAGCGCGGCCCCGTAGATCAACACCAAAGAAATGCCACCCACCTGACTTAAGCCGCTGTCGGCATGGACTCAAGCGGTGCCGTGGCTGATTGCAGGCAAGCTACCAGCCAGCCTCAGCTTTTTCAACGGCTTCTGTACGAAGTGCACCGAGAGTTGCGTTGTCATGCAGAGCCCACTCTCCCAACGCTTTGAAACCCTCGCTCGCACTTGGCAGGCACCCACTTTCAATTTCGAATCGAGCTGGAAACAAACCAGCTCCCGTAGTGCAATTGGAGGGGTACATGCAGTCTGCTGCAAAGCTACAACCCCATGCTCATGCACCTACTGAATCCTACTGGTACGTCTTCCTGTGACACCACTCAGCACAAAACGGCGCCAGCGGCTTCGGCGTCGCTGCGTAATTTGAGCTGAAGTTCTCTGGAGCATGGCCACGACGGAGTCGTAGGCGCCGGCAGGCTGCTCGAGTGCCAAAGGGCTAAGCCCAGCAAAGGTGGCGGCCACCACGCGCTCGTCCACCTGCAAAGCAGGCAAGGCGTGGCCTGTCCTGCGTCGAATTCGTCGGAGCGCCTGAGGAGTGGAGCCCTGGCGGGGTGCCACGAAGGCCTCGGCCCCACGTGAAAAAGACCAAGAAGATGGGCGTAGGGTTGTCTGAGTCTCGGAAGTGTCGAGCACCGGACGGGTGCTGCCACCAGGTAGAGGGCCGAGAAGGCGGCGATGACAAGGGCAATGGTGCCAGATCGTCCACCTGCTGCTTTCGCAAAGATTCTCATCTCAGCAGACTGTGACAAGAACAGACCTGAAGCACTAAGGCACTCACGAGCCATGGCTTGGTTTCTGTGAAGCTTCGAAAGCGGACAAGCTGTGGCAGTCTTGAGCAAAAAAATCTAATGAAAGCATTGGCACGGATCAGGCACAAGTCACAAGCCACAAAATGGCAGGCAGATGTCAAACCATTGGTAGCCCTGACAACTCTCCGTGAGAAGCTGACGTTCGGTGTGCCGTGCCTTGGAGATGATGACAGGCGAGGGTGGCATGTCGGAAAAAGCGAGGCCAAGGGAACTCACTCCATCCTTGTGCCAGGACCAGCCCCACGCAGTGCCTAACAGCACCCAGAAAACGATGCCTCCACAACGAAGTGCATGATGGCCCCATCTTGGACTTCAGCCGCCTGCGGAGCTTGGTGCAACGCTTGCACTGACTTACCCAAACGTGCCGTCTACACTGTCTACACCTCTTTGGCCCTGGATTCCACTGCACTGGCCTGGGCCTGAGCCCTTCACCGAAAGGTGGTCAAAGCTCAATGGACGATTTCTGCCTCAAGTCCTCTAATTAAAGATAATTAAAGATACGCAGGCCCTAAGGAGCATGCTCGACAGAAACTCCCATTGAACGCGCTCTCACCCTCACGACTTCTCGGGCCCATACTGGATCAGCATCCAGCCCGGTCGCCTTTCGAGCAGCACGGCCACCTTTCGAGGCCAAGAAGCATCGACTGTACGCCATTGGAATCTTGTGCAAGGTCGGCACGTGCCAGGGCTTGGATGGCTGTTGCAGCGCTCTCCTGCGTCTCGACTTTGTCGATGGCCTTGGCCTTCTCCTCGCAAAGAAGGCACATCGTCCTAAACCTGAAAGAAGCATACCTCAGCAGGCAACATCTGTGGCAGGCCTCTGCCTGCGGAATCTCAAGACGGAGACCTCGACGGAGAAGCGCAGTGTACCGCGATGTGTTGCTATATACCACGTGCTTCGATCGAGTTCTCGTGCGACTGCTGGGAGCGGAACTGACCGGTCTGGCTTTCAAGCTCTGCCTCAGTCCGGCTTTCGCATCCAAGCACGTGCAAATGCAAATCCGTGGAGAGACAGTGTGCCTGTTGCCTCTGTTGCTTCATGACACCATGAGAATCAGGCTTGAAAGTGTCAGGAGTCAGATCCGGTGTCTCTACACCGTTCAGCGCCACCAGCAAGTGCCCAGTCTGGATCTTGTGCCTAGGCACGTCCAGTAGTTCATAGCTGAA